TGCTGGCATGTGAAAGGAGAGTTGTGCTTTATAAATAATACATACATAGAAAATAAATACATCACTACATGCAAGGCTACCCAAATCACCTAGATTGACAACTTGAGGAGAGCCCACAGTGTCTTATGGGTGACTTGCTTCTCTATCAATGTAGATCAGCATCCAGAGGCTTCTTATGTATTACTGATGAAGTAGATATGTACAGTTAGGCCAGAACTGTCTGAATTGACCTCTGGGCCACTGGATTAAACCAGGAGATTAAAGGGGAAGAATATATGAAACGTATAATTCTTCTAAATGCTGACCCCACTGTGACCATTTGCTTGGGCAGGCATTTTTTAGATTTGCCCTTCAGAGCTGGGCTGATGAATACCACATAAAACAGTTGTGAGTGCCAGGCTGCAGGCAGAGGATCCATGTCCTTCTGTGGCTGTGTGGGGGAGAGTGTCCCCCCAGTTATGCAGCCTGGCTTGCTGAATGATGAAGGTGAGTGAAGCAGAGAGTCATTGCTGTTTGTAGAATTCCTTAAATGAGAGACCATGTCTTTTCTCTTTTTCTTTTTTTTTCTATGCAAGTATTCCACTTGCTAGAGAGAAATAGCTGTTAAGAGATAATAAAGGATATGTCCGTTTTCCAGCATTTTAAATCATGTAGGTTACATGATCTCTTTGATTTGAATTCCAGCATCAGGACCACAGAAAGCCAATGTAAAGCTGGTAAAATGACCAGTTAAAAAACACACAAACCACTGTGGCTTTTTTCTTTAAATTTGATATTGCATTGCTGGATTTTCTAGTATTTTAAGTGAAAAATATATGTAGTTAGTTCCATGTTGACAATGTCCTTGAGGATTTGACAGTGAGATTTTCCAGCAGTTGCTCTTCGTTAGAATCCTGGTGGTGTTTAATAAGGCAGCCCAAGTGCTGGCACCTCGGGCTCGTGTTTGTTCTCCGAGGGCTCGGGGCTGCTGCAGTAAGCACATCGACCAGGGCTGATCATTACAAGGGCGTACGCCACCATGAATAAAAATGTCACACGTTCTCCCGTCTCACAGTGGTACAAAATGTCAGTCCTGTCAAACAGACATTGCAAGTAGCACTGAGCAGTCAGTACAAATTGGGAAGCTGAATATTCCCCCAGCTTTCTGATATTCTTCATCTGAAGCAGAAGAAAAGCAGTTGTTAACCTATTAGCTGTGATTTTAAACTCTGCTGAGGTAGTAGATGGATAGGCTTTAACACATGGGGATAAATATATTCCTGGGGTCTGGGATTTTTTGCAACATGTCTCTCCATCCATGTATGTTGAGGAATAGACAGAATGAAAACAAGCCACAGCAAAATGAACCTCATTTTGGAAGAAGTCCTCAGGAAAAATGATCATCTCAGTGAGATTCTCTTTCAACCTCTTGCCAGTTTTACCTCTGTGAGCAGTTGTACAAAAGGCCTCCTTGCTGTTTTGCTGTAATCCAGAAAGGACCTGCTTTGATGAGTTAAGGGAGTTTTCCTTCATGGCCCTGTCATTATGCAGCACCCTCACAGAGAGCTGGGGTTTTATTCTCCTTCTGGGCAAATGAAGTTGTGCTGCTTCAGGGTAAGGCCCAGTGTGCAGTGCAGAGTCCATAGGATGTGTTCCTTCTGGCTTGGTGTAGTACCAGGAGCATCCCTGTGTGTTCACAGAGTTGCCCATCTAGGACTGAGAAGTGAGTATTATCAGTGTTAATTCTGCTGTTATTGCTGGGTCCAGAAAAAAATGTGGTGCAAAAATGAAGAGCAAAGTGGTGCCAAAATATCAAAGCAATAACAAGAAATTATACAAAGTCACAAGGAGGACAGTTGTGAGAGGGCCTGAGAGGACAAGGAGAACAGTTCTGTGTCACAGTGAGTATTTCAAAGAAATGGACTCAAAGTCCATTCTTTGTGTAGAAAATTCTTTGTTTTTTCTGACACCTTCTCAGAACAAAAAGTTGGTGTGTGTTTAGAGTAGAGAATGGTGATGGATGAATCCCCTGCCCAAACAGGGGTGAGTGCTGGAGCAAATTGCCAAGGAAGGCCCAGCGAGGATCAGGGCTGGGGAAGCTCTGCAGGAGCAGAGCACAGCAGGTGGAAAAGGGATCAGCAGAGCCCTGGCCTGCTCCTGCCTTGTGTAGTTACTGTCTGCAGCATGATCCTTTGTTATCCAGAGCCTCACTACACCAGAGCAAAACTGAAACGACGTGTGTGAGGCTTCTTTGAACCAGAGTGACTCTAAATTGAATTCTTTGCATTCTGCAGCCACCTGTTTGCTGTGGGCAGAGGTACCTACTGCAGGTAGCTCAGTGTGCAGTGGCTGTTTTGCATTCTGCAGCCACCTGTTTGCTGTGGCAGAGGTACCTTCTGCAGGTGGCTCAGTGTGCAGTGGCTGGCAGCTGTGCTCTGCAGCACCTGGGCTCTGTGCCAGGCTTGTTCTGCCTCCCAGTCTACAAATGGGGCTTGAAGAATGAGGCATCCCTTAAAACATGGAGGTTATTTTTATCACAGGACCCGGCAGATTTCCATTGAAGTATTTCAGAGTGTAAATTAAAAATATATTCTGTAAAGCATACACTGTTCCTGTCATCCCAGTTTGTGAGCTGTACATATGGGGGCATGTAACAAGCAGAGTGTGCTGTGCAGGGATCTGGCTGGATAATAAAACAGCTGCCTCGTAGATTCCCTCTGCTTTCTCTACTCAATCTTTTTAGGTACCACACATTTTTCACTGTTGTTATTTTCTTCCTTTTATTTTTTTTTAATTGCGTGTTCAGTTGAGTCCAGCATGTTCTCCCAAAGTCAGCACTTCAGGTCTCCTGCAGCCTGGTGTGTGTGAGCCTGGCTTCATCCAGCACAAGGCATCTCTCCCATGGCTGATTGACTTAAAAGTATTTTCAAACCAGTCCTCAATTTTGGAAGGAAATAAGATTCTCATCTAGAAGAGCTTTGCTATGGAAATTGTTGGAAACCCCCTCACTGCTAATTGAGAAACACTTCTTTCTCCACATGCCAACAAACCAGTTCTCATCTGGTGGTGTTTCCTTTAAGCATTTCCTTCCAGTTGCACTTGTTGCTGCACATAAACCAGCACCTCTGGTTTACTCACAAGGCTCTGTTTTGAATACCACTTTAAAAAAACCTGAAAACACATCCACAGTTAGTTTGAGATAATATTCTGCTCACAAGCTGTTATGTCACAGACAAAAATTATCCTTTTGTAATGTTTTCTCTGGTATAAAACTCTAAATAGTTGTATTGTGAAAGTTTCTTGCCTATATAATAGCTATTTTATGAGATGTGGGATCTATAATTTTTAAATAATATTTTGATAGTGTAAAAGTGAATGTAAGATTTTCCTTGCTCCAGCGTCTCATAGCTTAAAGTCACTTGTCTGATAATTAGCAAAGCAGTGCCAGATCTGCAGTCATAAAAATGGCTTTCTGCAAATTTTCTGTCTTGTTGCTTCAGAAGTATTTAGAACAAGACGATTAAGCAAATATCCAGAGGAGAAAGGTATGCTGGTAAACAGCTATTGGTGAGAAAGTGCTAATTTAGACATTTCTCCCCTTCACAGAAAAAGCTATAATACATATATTTAGGTCCATACCTGGAATAGCAATTTAGCAGCTTTTAGCACTGCAGCCATGTGCTGGTTGGTGCCCATTCCTCCCTACAGCCCAGGTAATTAAGTTGATATTCCAACACAGCTTCACCTGCTGACCTTTTAGAAACAATGTGTTTTGCTGCATTAACAAATTAACTTCAAATCAGTATCTTCCCAGAAAACAGAGTTTGAACATTGCCTATCCCACTGCAGTGACAGCACTGGCAGTGCAGCTCTGGGCCAGGCTGAGCTTTGCCTGTTCCCTGGGGTGCCTCCCCTGGCCTCACCCTGCTCCTGCCTGTGCCCACAGCCCTGGCCCTGCCCGTGCAGGGAGCACTGCTGGCCCTGGCCACTTCTGTCCTGCCCCCTCTGACATCTCCTGAGGCTCAGCCACGGGCTGTGGGTGCAGCACAGACAAACCTCCCAACAAACTGCACTGCTGGCAGCACTGCAGTGAAACACAAATTGGGATTGGAGTGGTGCCTTTGCCTGTGTTGCTACAAGCACTGAGGTCACAGTTCTGAGAGTTAACACGATGCCTGTTAGAAGTCCAAGAGACAAAAAAGTTTCTACACCTTTAATCTTTTCCCAAAGCAGCATTTGTATGTGTCTTTTATTGTGGAAATACATAGAACTGTTATTTGATCAGAGATGAAAGCTTAATCATATGTGATATTTAAATCTCAGCTGGAAAAAATAATCTAGTGACAGGATAAGGATATGGAAGTATTGGCTCCTGCAGAGGAATAGTTTATTGTAATATAAATACGTAGAATATTTGTAGTATGTTCATTTTCACTTGCACAGAACTAAAATAATATTTACACAAGTAGTTTTGGGTTCTAGGCCATCACGTTGCTTTAAGGCCTGACTTGTAATTGTTGGTCACTTAGGAATAAAACCCAGGACAGGATCTGAACAAAAGCTCACCTTTAAGTGCATGAAAAGTTTAACTGAATTGGGGTTTTTCCCATGCTCTTATACACCTGTTTTGAGGCCTTCTCCATAAGTTTTCACAAGCATGAAAATCACTTGAGATTTTAGTGAAAGTGTTTTTGAGTATCCTGGTTGCCATTTGCATAAATGTAGCCTAGAACACTTGGACCTCGAGGTGCAAGAACCCACCCTGAACATCTTTGTTGTGTCAGTCCCTTTTGGCTGTCTGGTGCTGTCCCTGCTGCCTTGGCTGTGGCAGGAGCTGAGTTCAGCCTGGCATGGGTGCCCTGGGGTTTGTCACTGCTTTGGAAAGCAACGTAAGAAAAATGGCATTTTGTGAGGTGAGTATGAAGGTAAACCACGTGCTGTCACATGCTGATGCTGCTTTTGCCAGGACATCAGAGGTGTTTCATGCAGGTGACTTTAATGCAGTCTCCACTTTGCTGCAGCAGCACAGACTCCGCCCGCCGCGCCCACCGCCCCCAAAGATCCAGCGCTCCTCCAGGCCCGTGAGTAGCTGGGATTGTTTCACTGCCACAGCTTAACACTGCCTGAGTTACGCTCTTTGTAGCACTACTAAACCCTGGTAGTTTGGATTGTCCAGCTCTGCACAGAAGCCATGTGTGAATGATGCTCCTAAACTGCCTTCTCTCTGCTGCGGCACAGCCCTGGGACCCGCGGTTGTTCTGCTTCTCTCTGGCGAGCCCTGCAGCTCTGGGGCAGCTCTGCAGGTAACTGGGGCTGCTCTGGCCACCTCTGGTTTGACTTTTGCAGTGGTTTCTTACACACAAAGCCCTGCTAGACTGGCTGGCGGAAGTTTTTAGCCAGTGAGCTTTTGAAGACTTGCACTGAACTCAAATCTGAAAGGAAGCAGAAGTCTGAAGACATATTGATTCTCTGCACGTTATGCTTTTCATTAATTTGGGGTGCCTAGTTCTTCTCCATGTATGAATAGAGTTGAAGAAAGCAAGGTTGATCTTTGGCAGTAGAACATTGGTGCCATGTTATGGATGAACATACACTGGATAATTCCATGGTGTAAAAGAAGGCCCAGCAGGTTGGCCAGAGGAAGGGGCTCTTCCATGGAAGAACTGCACAGAAATTACTGCAGTGCAGTGCCTGTATGTGTTAGGTAGGGATACCTTATCTCAGCAGTTTTTCCCCAAGAACACTCACTGTAGGACAGTTTTTACCTCTGGACTATGCAGGATGGCATTAAAACTGGACACCCTACTGGGTCTACACCAGATGTTTATTTTTTTTAAAAGACACAGGCAAGAATTATCAGTTTAGGAGGAGTGTTGGTTTTTGTCACAGCATTGGAAGATATTTGTGTGTGTTCAGGATTATATTCAGCTTTATGAATATAGTTACCCCCTAAATCATTTTACTTCTTGCTTCCTTATCCATACACATACATGCATAAGAAAGAGAGAGATGCAAGTTTTCAAATCTGATCTTGCTAAAACTTGTTAAAATGTGTTTTGGATGAGCAGGTAACTGGTTAACAAGTGCAGCTGGGTGTGTGTTTTAACTTTTGATCTCTGGTGCATGTTCCTGTGTGACATTTCAGTGGCATGTGTTTCTTCTCCTCCGTCTCTTTAACTCTGGGTGTTTAGCTTAATAGAGTCATTTTTATGGATTTTTTCCCCTGAAGATTTCTGTTTTCTGTGTTTAAAAAATAGCATTGACTATAATTGTATGTGTTCTCTTAAATCCAATGGGCATGGGAGACCCTCCCAGATGTGTTTCACTGGGATCAGCCTCTCCCTGTGCTGTGGGCTTCCTGAAGTGTTCCCATGCCCTTGTGTTCCACGTTTGGCAGGTGTGAGGGGGCATGTTGTGATTCCTCTGTACCAAAGTTGCTGAACTGGATTGTTCAAGTGGAGTCATTTATTATGTGGAGGTCTTGTTAAGACTGTTTAATCTCCCAGCTGTAGGGTATTAATAGTCCTCACTGAAACATGGTTGGTTCGACTGTCTTTGCTCCCAATGTGATTGATAAAAGGTTGGAAATGTAATAATGAAAGCTCCTGTTGCATTCCTCTGGCTGTGTCAGTAAGTGGAACAGAAAGGCTTCATTCATCAAGGGGAAATTCAAGATAAATGTAAATTATTATAATCAATCCCAAAAAATATGCTTGTATCAAATATACATAAATTTGTTATTGTTCAGAACTGTTATTTGGCTTTTAGTAGTTGCAACACATTTCTGTATGTGTAAATAATACTTTTTGCAGGCTGCTTTTTCCCTCTCAGGCTTGGCAGCTCCTACAGAGGTGGGTATCAGCGAGTGATTTATCCTGGCCTTGTACACAAGCACTGAAGGGTGACCAGGTCCCTCTGCTCTCCCAGCCAGGGCCACATAATACCAGAATTCCTGAGAAATACTTTGTGCTGCAAGAAGGAATACATGGGCACTAGTGCTTGCAATATGAGTAATTGCTGATAATAAAGCCAAAAACACAGAGCAAAGAAAGGTTAAGGAAGCAGAACAGAGATGTTCTGTGCATTCTGCTGCTTTGGAATAAGTGGTGGTGGTATTATGAAAGAGAGAGGGTTGTTGCTTCTAATTAATGGAGGTCTGTTTGGATTAATAGTGGTTGTTTGGAAACTTTATTCAATTAGAAAAAGTTAAAATATAGTAATTATGCATTAAGTTGATGGGAACAGTAATAAGCACATTCAACCCTTCTGTCCTGGAAGTTTACCTTTTTTCTTTTGGCTCTGTGCTCATGTAATTGGATTTCTTTGATATTTTGCATTTGATAAACATTTAACCTTGCCTCTGTGGCTATGTGAGACTCCAAATCCAGCGAGGAATTGACTGGATTCCTGGCTTTTCCCTGAGCTCCCAGGCACAAGGCTCTAAATCCCGCTGGCTTTGTCACCTTGCGCCGCTCTGGGCTGGGCCCCCTGGAGCCACCCCAAACTCTCACCTCTCTCCCTCCCCAGCAGCACACCCACCCCAAAGGTGAAAGTGTTCCCAGCACGCTGACAGGCCAGCTTTACACATCAGCTCCCAGCTCCCATTTAATTAAGCAGCTTTGCTTTCTTCCTCTCTCCCTCTCTCCTTGGCGCTGCGCTCTCCGTTCCTCCCGCCTGTCGCCCCCTCTCCCACTCTCCTCTCGGTCTCTCCCTGTTTTATCAGCCCTAATGAAGCAGTATTCTTCATCGATCCTGCTGATTGCCAGCCCATTCCTTTTGTTTGTTGGCACCGAGCCATTCTGCTGCGCTCTGACAGCTCAGCTCCTCTAATTAGCTCTGTTGTTCTTTTCCCCATGTTTCACCACGTTGCAAGTTCAGTTGAAGTTGCCACAAACTTAATCCTTCCATTCCTGCCATAAATTCACATTCTTAAGCTGTCTTTATTGTAGAGAGGAGCAGCCTTGTGTGGGGACTGATCTCCAAGACCTTAACATCTGACCTTTTCATAAGCCCTTTTTCCTAAGAAATAGTGGCAATACAACTCTGGATTTCTTCATCATATCTGCTGTGCACCATTTCCTTTGAAATGAAAATTCAATGCAATAATGCTGCTGCTATTTTCTGCATACTGGTGTGTAGGGCAGAAGCACTACAGCAATTTGGTGGTTTTCTCCTGGCAGGAAAATTTGAGGTTTATGTACCTGGGAAGAAAAATTAAAAAAAAAACAAAACCAAAACAGACCTGGAAAGTCCCCCATCCCCAACAAATTATATATTTTTTTAATTTATGTAGTCACTCCAGAGCACTCAGGCTGTAGGCCATGAGCATCTCCTTTCTCTTGTGCCTCTTAAGGGAGCACAAGCTCTGGAAGGTCGGGAGCTGAATTGTATTCCCAACTTGATTTGGGTGTTTGGCCATTTCTGTTGAGATTAGCATTGAGCTGAGCCAACAGATCCGACTCTTTTTTAGGCAGAGTTGTACTTTCTTAACAAAAGACATGAAGCTGGTGTGTGCAGTCTGCCCTGGTGCTGCAGATTCCCTCGTTTGGCTCGCAGGGATAAGCTGAGCACAGGATTCCTCAGCAGTGTGAGCTGGCACACACACAAACTGAGCACGAGTGCTTATTCCTTTCTTTAAAATAAGACTTGTTTGCTTGTGGAGATCCTGGTCAGAAATCAAGCTGAATTTCCACACATGGGAAGGTGATGGACATGTATGTGAGACTGGATTGGCAGCAGCATCATCTGCCACAGAAAAGCTTTGGATGTTACTTACAGACAGCAGAAGTCTGACTTAATACCAGCAGTGATAATGACAACATGGCTGGCGAGGGGTTGTGTTCAGCTGCTGGAAGGAAGCAAGTTTTTAATGAAGAATGAGCTGAGCTTTTCATGTTAAAACATTCATCCTAAGTACACATTTTTCCTGACACCCTTGCACAGAATTCCTCACCTGAGAGGCTGGGCTCCTGGGAGCAAGTGGCCAGAAGGGTCATGGTGCCAGAGCTGAGCCCCCCTGCCAGTGCAGTGTCCAGAGCACATGGACACTCCCAGCTTTCTCTGAAATTCAGCCCACACCAAACAGGACAGGGCAAACAGCAAACAGTGACAAGCATGTATGTTTTGTTTGCAAGCCGTGGGGCCATGTGGTTTATTTTCACCCTTTAGATTCATTGATGTACCCACGCTCATGTGTAACATTGTGGCACAAAAGACAAAGCGAGGCGCGGTGGAAGATCCCTGTAGGATGCTGGTGGTTCTCCATGTGTTGTGTGTGCTGTTGAAGCAGGGCAGTGTTTGATGAGATGTCTCTGTGCCTGTCACAGGTTCGTCCCCCAAGACCTCATGTGGTCAAGAGGCCCAAGAGCAACATTGGTGTGGAGGGCCGGAGGACCTCGGTTCCCAGCCCAGAACAGTGAGTACTGTGCTGCTCTGCTCCTCTCTACCTGCATCAAACAAGTGTTCAGAGCTGGGGCTCACCAAAGGAGTCATTAAAAATACTACAGATCACAGCTGGATTTTCACTAAGAAAAAAAGTGATTTAAAAAAAAAAATTTGGAAGATTGTAGAGGAAGTGTGAAAAGTCAAGTAACCAAAGTTTGCTTATGGAGAAATTGTGGTTTGCCAAGTTACACACCCTGTGATCAGTCTCCTCAGTAAAAGTTTTCGGGTTTTGGAGGTTTGTTAATTTCTTTGTTGTTGTGGTTTGCACTTTTCTTTCAAGGAAATTGTCAGTTCCAGCCCTGCAGATGCAGTGTTCTTGCCAGGCTGTAGCTGGAGGGTGCAGAGCTGTTTATTTGACAGTGGAGGGGCTGTGTGTGACTCCAGAGTGCATTGCCAGGAGCGTGATGTCTGTGTGAGCTCTGTGGTGAGGGTTTGTAGGGCTTCACCTTGCACAGTACCAGCAGATTGAGCTGTGCCAGTGAAGGGGAATGTCCCAATCACCTGTGCTGCCCCAGCCCTCTGCTCCTGGGCAGAGCTGTTGGTTTCCAGTGCCTCACTTGTGCATGGCAGTACAGGCACGCTCTGTTGCCTCAGGGAGGCTTTTTCAGGCCCTGTCACTGATGTCACTTACCCTTTGCAAAGACACGAGGGGTGTGTGTTGCAGATTCCTGGCAGTGCCAGAGTGGAGTTGGCACTGGGCCTCAGGGGTGCCCTGCCCAGGGGGTGGATGTTCTGAGCTGTGCATCTTCTGAACTTGCCAGCACAGCCCAGACGTGCTGCAGGGGCATCAGTGGCCAGCAGTGCATGGGTAGCTCTTTGCAGCATGCCAGGGTAGGGGCATGGTCTGCCTTTGGCCTGAGTGATTTCTCCCTTGTACAGGACTGTTTGTCCATTTTACAGTGGAATTTGGTTGCCCTCTTGTGGAGCAGATGCAGCTCCTGCATCGAGCCATGCTGGCCCTGCACAGAGGTTGTGGGGATTTTTAAACTAAAAGCATTTTTTAAATATTTAATCTGATGACTCACTGCATTTAGGTGGATGATAATTGAATCAATTTAACATTTATGTGTGTTCCTGTGGAGGATTCTGCATGCTTGGGTTCAAAAGCTGCTGAGATCCCAGTGTTGCTCTCTGCTAACGTGTATCTTCAGTTCCTGCCACCCTCAGACTGCAGATAAACATAAACATGAGTGGCAAACATTGTACCAATGCTGGAAATATATTGTATTTTAGTTATTTTATTTGGGTCTAGTTTATTGCTGCTAGTTTTAGTGAGTCTTCACAGCTCAGCTGCTTTCACAAAATTCAGAATTTTCATTAGTCTAGTTTATTGCTGCTAGTTTTAGTGAGTCTTCACAGCTTTCACAAAATTCAGAATTTTCTTTTTGTTTCCCACAAACTTTTTTCTGTCCCAGTAAGAAGCAATCTTTGTATATCTTTTGTATCTTTGTTCTGAAATGGGAATGAGAGGTGTTGTCTCTTTAAAAAACTCAAACACCATAAAATATATTTTCCCTTGTTTTGCCTGGTTACATTGAGGGTTAGGAAATCTATGCCTTGAGTTACATGAGTTAATTCTTTTTATGTGTGTAAAAGAAGCACATGGTTTTGGGGATGTCTATGCTCATTTTCTAATCAGACTTCAGTTCAAATGCAGGGGCTGGGGAGCAGTGACTGCAGAGAGCACCAAGATCATGGCTCCTGTCTCTGGTTAAACCCATGTTTACAGGAGCAGGGGTCAGGTCCTGTGGCCCTGCTGCAGCCCCGGGGCTGGGCAGGGAGCTCTGCGTGCCTGGCACTGGGAGTGCCCGGATTTGGGGTGGCTGGGTGGGATGTGTGGGGTGGCACGGGCTCGTGGGCAATGCCAGCCGGGCTCTCAGGCCCCACCACGCAGCAGTGAGGGTTCCATGGCCCCTCCAGGAGCTCTGACACTGAGCAGTGAGGGTTCCATGGCCCCTCCAGGAGCTCTGACACTGAGCAGTGAGGGTTCCAGGGCCCCTCCAGGAGCTCTGACACTGAGCATGCAGGGTCTGCAGGAAGGAATTGCAGCGTGGCTCTGTGCTGTGGTCACAGCAGCAAGAAAAAGCCCATGCATCCAAATCCCTCATTCTCTGCATTTTACTGGCAGCAGTGAGGGTTCCATGGCCCCTCCAGGAGCTCTGACACTGAGCAGTGAGGGTTCCATGGCCCCTCCAGGAGCTCTGACACTGAGCAGTGAGGGTTCCAGGGCCCCTCCAGGAGCTCTGACACTGAGCATGCAGGGTCTGCAGGAAGGAATTGCAGCGTGGCTCTGTGCTGTGGTCACAGCAGCAAGAAAAAGCCCATGCATCCAAATCCCTCATTCTCTGCATTTTACTGGCTAAGAGGGACAAATTTCTTAATTCCCTAGAGCTCTTGTGTAGCTGTTCTTTAAAAAAGCTACGTCAATAAAAAATAATTCTTCCTCAAATCTGCGGAGCCTTTTTAGGAGAATAATGACAAGTCCATACACCCCTTCATACGATAATCTCAATAGTCAGGAAAAAGCACTACCATAATAAAATAAACAAAATTAATTTTCTTATCACCAGATCATCCTATAAAATTATTACAGAGTTCTCCTTACTAATTCCCATATCCTGCACTCCCATTTTCTGTATAATTTTTTTTTCTATCTCATGTACATTTAGGTGTCAATTAAATTTGAAATATCTACATTTGTCAGCATTTCATTTTTGGCCAGCGTGATGTGCTGCTGATTTGTCCATGCATCCTGACACATGAAAAAAGCTCCCGAGATGCAGATCTTCCTCATTAAAACGGGGCTGCTGCCGGCGCCGTGGAGCTGCCACGGCATTTACCGGGCTGGCACCCCGGGCACGGGCACAGGCAGGGGCACGGGGCAGCAGCAGGGCTGCCACGGCATTTACCGGGCTGGCACCCTGGGCACGGGCACAGGCATGGGCACGGGGCAGCACCGGGGCTGCCACGGCATTAACTGAGTGGCTGGCACCCCGGGCATGGGCACGGGGCAGCAGCGGGGCTGACCCGGGGTTTACTGAGCAGCTGGCAGCATTGGCACCTGCGGGCCGCAGTGGCCCCACTCCTTGCCCTGGATACCTGTTGCTGAAGGAGAGGGAAGAAAGCAGTGCACGGGCTCTACCTGGAATCATGCAGGCTGTGAGTCACCACCGCTGGCCGCAGCCACTGCCACCTGTTAGAGATGTTTTATTAATTAGCTCTGACCCGACTGTGAGTAAACATTCATTGGCAGAGGCAGCTCAGGCCCTCTTGGGCTGTAGGTTGCAGCATCCAACTTCTCTTTCCCTGTCCTAATCATTAAGAAATTATCTTCAGTTAACTGCTGAGGAAAGGAACATACGCACCTTACTTGACAAACTGCATTTCATACCAATCCTTGGACAGCTTAGGTTTTATTCTAGAGTGAAGCAGTTTCAAATGTGAAAATAGATACAAGTAGGAACTGGTGCCCTGGAGTCAGCTCCTCTTGTGCACCAGACTAAATGTCTGTAAAGCAGAGGGAGATCTAATGTTTGTCAGAGCTCAGGGAGCCTGAGGAGCAGAGAGGTGCCCAGCTCTGTAGGGAATGTGGTGGGGAAAGGGGCTTTCTGTATTGTCCCCTGCCCTGTGGAGCGGCTGCAGTCCCTTCCCTTGGCACCCCACGGTGCCCTGCCCTTGGCCCAGGGCTGTGTTCTGTGCCCGGGCAGAGCTCAGCGTTCCCTGCAGAGCTCTGCTGTGCAGTCAGTCGGGGTCAGGATGATCTGGGTCTCTGGAGCCCCTGGGTTCTCTCCTCGGGAGCTGTCACTGTGACTCGATAACTTCCTTTTCTCTTCCTGTTCCCCAGCCTCGTAAAGCCCATGCGACACTATACAGTCTTCCTCTCTGAGGACTCCTCTGATGATGAATTTCAGCAGGAAGAGGATCCTGTCTCTGGCTTCTCTGAAAACTTTTTCTTCTCTGCTCCTTTTGAATGGTCTATCCTTTACTCTTTTGCTGTGTTCATGCCAGTTTCGAACAGTGGGGTTTGCATTGCTCAGGGCACCTGCTCCTGTGCTGGGATTTTGGAAATGCTCCTGGGGTCTCTGTACAGTGCTTGATGAATGACCAACATTTCTCCTCCTTGTTTGTCTTGATGTTGAGCAGCATGAAAAAGCATCCTCTTGCATGAAACACTGCAGCACCATGCAGTTTATGGGCTTCCATTGACTCAGGCTCTGTGGGATGTCACCCTTCATTTGTCCTTTGTTCCAACATGCTGCTCGTGCTCCTGTCCACACCTTTCACATTCATTCTTGTGTGGTGTTACTGTGCTTTTGGGCTGTCCTGTGAGCTTTGTTCCAGTGCAGCTGCCAGCCTTTTCCAGTGTCACCTGTTTGATCCCAGCCTGTCTGGTCTGTCAGGTGTCCTCTGAGGGCATTGAGAACAATCTGACAATTATACCAGAAGCAGGAAGTTTCTTTGGTCTATTTGTATCCAGCTTTTGGATTTGTAACTTGTACCTTCCCAAGCCTCTGTAACTGTGTCTTGAAAGACCATGTTGAGCATCTGGGCCAGAACTGCTCGTTGATGCTGTGGCTGGGGGGTTCTGCCCCTGCCCATGGTGCCTGTGGTAGGGGAAGGAGCACAGCCTGCCCAGAGTGCCCGTGTGAGGTGAGGGGAGCCCTGCCAGCTGTGGGTTCAGCTGCACTAAATCCCTCTTGCTGCCTATTTGAATATCCCAATCCCAGGCAGCTCTGAGCTGAGCCCTCACTGAGTGTCAGCAGAGGATTTGTTATTTCCTAACCTCGCCTGCTTGAGGATTTCTAGAGGATGAAAGGTAGATAAATTGCATGGAGTTGCACTCATTCTTTTAACAATTCAGCCACTGGTTTGACCAGAACCTGTAGGAAGAGAGGCCAGGGTACTGTGGGCTGCTGCTTCAGGAGTCCACGATGCCACGTGCAGGCAGTTCAGGGCTGGAGAGGGACGATGCCCAGTCCCAGCTGAGCAGCTGAAGCCTGGCAGCCCCAGCTGGGCAGACCAGGCTGGGGAAGGAGGCTGCCAGTGGGACAGGGAGGTCTGCAGGTAGCTGGGATGGGGAGGATCAGTAGAAAAGGGCAGAAAATGTTCCCACACTCCTGTTTAGGGTGGAGGAGAGCAGTTTTGTTTTCAGCTATCCCTTGAGGGGTTGCAGTGTGACCCAGAGTGATGTGAGACTGCCCTGAGGCCATGTGCTGTCACTGTCTGCCCTGTACCTGCAGTGTCCCTGTCCTGCTGCAGGCTCAGTGCCTGCTCTGTGTGTGCTGGGGAGGAAAGCAAGCTGGGCTCTCTGAATTTGCATGATATAGATGTATTATGATAAAATATGGAAAAGGGAGAAGGGTTCTTCCATAGGATGTGTTTTTGCAGGTCTCACAAATATTTTCTTTTAATTGAAAGCGTGTTTAAATGCCACAGTACAACTGGCTGCCAGTCAAGTGCCAATCCCCACAGCCATGTGTGGCACTTGTTGTTATTAATTGGATGCACATCGTGCTGCTGTCTCTGTACACACACCAAAATGCAAATGTGCTGGTTCTGGTTTTTGCTGAGGTATGTGCAAGAGAAGCATCCTGCTAACTCAGCCTTGGCTGGTAATGTAAAGGAGGTGTCTCCATAATGGATTGTGGTGTTTCTTGATAAGATGACACCAATGAAATCATTGGAACCTGCACAGTGTTCCCAATTATTGCAGGAAAACACTGAGTTATGCTGTGTGCTGAGTTAGCTCAAAGCCCGAGGATGTTAGAGCCTGCAAACATGGGGGGCAGAGGCCCATGCCAGCCTGAGGGGAGCCCAGACAGCTGCTATCCCACTGTCCCTGCTCTGAGCTCCCTCCTCAGCCTGCCTGTGCCTGCATGACCAAACACTGAGTTATGCTGTGTGCTGAGTTAGCTCAAAGCCCGAGGATGTTAGAGCCTGCAAACATGGGGGGCAGAGGCCCATGCCAGCCTGAGGGGAGCCCAGACAGCTGCTATCCCACTGTCCCTGCTCTGAGAGCTCGCTCCTCAGCCTGCCTGTGCCTGCATGACCGCAGCTTCCCTCTGAGCACCTCCCACTCAGCTCTTGCCCTTGCGAGCACCCTTGGGTGCCAGGTCCCCTTCTGCATGTCCCCTGCCCTCAGGCACTGCTCTCAGTCTGCATGGGGGCTCTCTGAGCTATATTTGCCACTGGGGAGCTCTTTGTAACTCATCCAGCTCCTTAGGAAATTGTGTCCAAAAGTAAGAATTACTGATTGCCGTTTGCACTGTGCTCTGCGGTTCCGTGCCAGGCCTCAGCCGTACCGGGCGCTGAAGGAGTCGGACAGCGCCGACGGAGAGGACGTGGGCAGCCCCGAGAAGGCCAGAGAGCCCCTGCCCCCGAGCCCTCTGCTCTCCAGCAAGGCCTCCGAAGTCAACCTCCTGGAAGACCTCTTCCCCAGCTTGGAGGTGGAAGCCCAGCCCCAGCCCCTGAGCCAGGCCAAGAGCCTGGAGGACCTGCGCACGCCCAAGGAGGAGGCAGAGCAGCGCTGCTCCTTTGAGTACCAGGTTGGGCTGGGGGCTTCCTGTGCCCTGGGTGGCACAGAGCTCATTCTGAGGGTCTTTTTCATGTGGTTGGGTAGATCCTAATAATCATCATCATGGTCATCATCATCATCTGTTTCCCAGGGATTTGCTTATGTGTTTCAAAATTGATTTCTGAATTAAGAAATGGCTCAAACGAGACTCAGCGATAAGTAACTGTTTCCTCTGAAGCCTTGGCTTTTGAAGGAGGGAATATTTGCCCTGCTCCTCAGAATCTGTCCCGTGGCCATCACACAGAGTTATCTTTGAAGTTGGTGGTGAGCAGTGAGAATGAATAGTTGGTAGTTTTCAGGTCCCTTCCAAACTATTTTTTCTTTTAATCTGGCTATTTTGGTCTAAGCATCATTTGAACAATCCCCTTCTGAAGAAATGGGATTGTTTGTGAAGGAACATTGCTCAGAAAGTGTTAAACTAAAGCAGACTCCAACATCTTCATCTGACACCAAAGGAGCAAATGTCATTTCTACCTTATAATAGTATTGATTTTAGTATTACATTCAGATAGTTCATTTTTCAGCTTATTCCATGCAGCAATTGAGGCTTCTCAGCTTCTGTGCCTTGGACACAGGTGTGTGCTCCTTACTGGGCTGTGACAGATGCACAGCATGTCCCAGCTGAACAAGCCCATGGTGGCAGAGCTGGAACTGGAGCTGCAGAGTCCTGGCTGGTTCCTCTCTGTCCTTCCTGGCTGTTGTCCCTCTGCACTGCTGGCAGCCTGGGGACAGATCCTCTTCCCTCGCAGCAGCCTGAACTCACTTCCTGCTCTGTGTTGTGAGGACATCAGGCAGAGTTAATGTTTGTTCTGCTCTCTTGCAGAGAATGGATCTTGGTGTGTCTGAGAGGAGCAGGATTGTGCCTAGCATGAAGCTGTCCCACCCTTACAACAAGCTGTGGAGCATGGGCCATGATGATATGGCTATTCCCACCAAATATTCCCAAAGCTCTCCCGAAAGACCCTTGGCTGCCCTGGGTAACATGCCCCCCATCAGCAGGAGACCCCAGAGCAGAGACAGTGGTCTGGCTCCTGCAGAAAAGGATGAATCCAATCCTGCCATTCAAGGGAACATCACCATTCCCAGGCCACAGGGACGAAAGACTCCAGAACTGGGGATTGTGCCACCACCACCAGCACCCAGGGCTTCCAAGCACCAGGCTGCAGCTGGGTCAGCGGAAATCCTCACCCCTCATGGGCGCAGCCACTTGGTTTCAGATCTTATCCCAGAGCCCTTTGGGGCTGGGCACGTGTCCTTGGAGCCCGAGGTGCAGCAGTCTGTGGGTGCCTCCTGCCAGCCGCAGCCGCCGCGCGGTGCTGCCAGCAGTGCTGAGCTGCTGCAGCCGCTGCGGGTGAGGACGGAAGGTGCAGGAAATGAGAGCGAGCTCCTGCTGAGCCTGCTGGACCCGCTCAGAACCACGGCCTGGCCACCCAGGGCCCCGCAGGGCCCGGCCCCCGCGCCCGCCCTCCGTGCCCTGCCAAGTGACTTGGTGCCTCCTGCAGCTGCAGCCTTTGCCCAGCCCCTCGGCTACCCTGCCCCGCTTCCTGCGCCTTTTCTGCAGCCCTCACCCAACCCGTTCACCCAGACACTGCCAGGAGCCCTTCCAGTGTCCCTGGTGAGACCCCCGAGGGGCTCCTTCACCCCCTCCTTAGGTCACGCATACAGCTCCAGCTTCATAACCCCCACTGCCGGCTTCTACCCAGCACAGAGACCTCAGCCCCACATGGCCACACTCTCCATGCCAAACCTGTTCAGCCAGGCTCCAGCTGTGCCAGCAGCTGGCTCCTTGCTCCTACAGAGCCACAGCCCTTCTCCCACCAGCTCCCTCCAGCCAACGTGTCTGGGTGGTCCCTCCAAACCCCAAACGTTACAGGTGGGCCAGCCCAGCACAAAGGTAGATCCCAAACAAACCCTGGCTCTTCTGGCCAGTGAACCCCCTCTGGTCCCTGCCAGGCCAGCCAAGGGCTTGGAGTCGGTGTTATTGTCCTCAAAATCTGAGGAGACAAAAGATCCCTTTGAAGATCTGTTAAAAAAGACCAAGCAGGACGTGTCACCCACACCAGGTAAGGTGGAGCAGCTCAGAAAGCGATGGGAAACCTTTGAGTGACATGCCCCATGGCCTTGGTGTCCTTTTGGAAGTGACATAGGGATTTTTTGGTTTTTTTGAGCCAGCATAAAACCAAGCATTTCTTTTAAGGAAGGCTGAGCCAGGAGTGCTGCAGGACCATCGCTGAGCTGCAACTCAACACGAGAGCTTTTTGCCCACAGGTCAGAGTCCCCAGTCCCTGACACTGCTCTCACTCCCTGCCACCAAACCCTGGGATTCCTGCACTGACCAAAGCGTGAGGGGAGGTGGGTTGGGATTTCCACACACAGCTTTTCAGGCAGCACTACTGATGCACAAGTTCCTCCCTCCCTGCATTTCCGGTCCTTGGCACACCTGGAGCGTGACACAACCCTGGGTTCATTCCTGCTGGGTTCATTCCTGCCCCTGGGAATGGGGTCAGTTTTTCTGGCATTACACAGAGCTGCAACGTTTTGTTCCCACGTGCAAAGTGCAGCACAGCAGCCCACAAGTCACTGAACTGATCTGTTGGTTTCTTTTGTGCTCGTTGAACCCCAGCCATGTGCTGTCACATGGACTGCAGTGGCACTTCTGGTTCCCCCCACCCCGAACACCAACAGCCAGGGCAGAGTTGTCACAGGCCTGGAAACCACAGCACAGAGCAGCTGCTCAGGGATTGGTCCTGCATCTCTGTTGGGAAACTGGAAACACCAGCAATTGTTTTCATTTTTTTGACTTTGTTTTGTTAAATACATCAGAAAATAGAGGCCATAAAGAGTATCCTAGTTCTTATATATGTGTATCTTAATATTATCTCTCAATATTATAAATTGCAGTATATGAATGGAATGTAACAATATCTTACTTGATTATTACAAAGAAGAGAAGAGATGTGGGGTATCGAGGTTCCCAGCTCCTGAGTGCAGGTGCAGGCTGGTGTCCTGTCCTGGTGTCCTGCTGTCCTGCTGTCCTGGTGTGCTGAGGGCAGGGCCTTGGGAGGGGGTCTGGGGGATCTGGGCTCCGTGGCCTCGCCTGGCACAGGGCACAGGGCACAGGGGCTGCCAGCTGGGTGTGCTGAGCCCCCGCTGGTCTCAGACATTTCACACGAGCCCCAGCATCCCCAGGAAAGCTGCTTCTGATCATTCTGTTTCACTTCAGTGGTGCTTTTTTGGTTTGTTTTGTATCTGGGCCCACTCTGGTGTAAAACCTGTCACTCTTGCAGAGGGAATCACATCACCATTGAGCCTTTGACAAAGGAAATCATCTTGGACACATGAGGAAGTTCTTGTAAAGCTTTATCTGATTTCCAATGTATCTATTTTATTCATGTTATATTGGAAGTTTTCTTACTCTGGGGAATGGGAATGGCTGTCTCTGTGTTCGAGTCTGGGCAGTACAAAAGAAAAATAATATCTGAAATGCTGCTGGCTTTGGGAAGACCACAGTATTCCAGGCATATTCTGTTTCTGTACAGTGCTGTTCCTCTGACAAGCCATTCACTTGGATTTGTATTTTCTTTTTGTGTTGAAAGACAGATGGGTTTAGTATTGAATAGTAAAATATTTAAAGCCTAAGATACCAGTTCCATTTTATTTGATAGAGTTCAGAATAAGTATGTTATATGTAATTCAGTCTGGCATTTCAGAGCTCCTTGGCTGTGAGCTGGATAATAAAACTTCCTGGGCTGTGGTGGATGTGCATGGGCACTGCACAATCCTGCTGTGCCAAGCAGGGCTCCTGTCTGAACTCAGCAATGTCACACAGTGACCCCCCACTGAGGAGCCCACCACAGCTGCTTTAAACCACTCAGGAATTCTGTCCCTCTGCAGTTCATTTCCATCTCTGGTAACTTTGCTCATATTTTGGACCATTTGCTAAGTCAGCTGGGGGCAATGAAGAGTTTTAACACCCATTTTTTCACCCTTCACTTTATTTAGCACCTCTGAGATCCAGGAGGACAAGGGGTTTGTGACTTCCCTCACTTCTGGAGCAGGGTTTGCAAGCAGGAGACTTTTTTAGGGGTTTCTTGTAACATAGGAATTGAACTATCCTTAGAACAGGGATTAGAATTTAGGGATTTTTTTGTCTTATTTGAACTCAGGAATGCCTAACTTGATTCTTTGGACACAGGGGGAAATAGTGCCAGGTGTAAACAGCTGAACCAGCTCTGCTTCAGCCCTAGAAGGAATTTGGATGTTTTTATTAATCCAGTATAAAAAGTGTTCCTGGTCTTACTCATCAGTGACCTTATACTTGACTTTGTCCATGTTCCTGTGTTTGGTAGCACTTTGCTTATTTACAGCTGCTTCCTGACACAAGAAACAAGTTTATTTTAAAAACAAACAAACAAGACAAACCTCTTGGAAGTTTGTGGTGTATCTGCTGCTGCACAGGAGCTGAAAGTTCTGCATCCTGTTCCCTCTGGGTGGAGGCTTCCAGGCCACTGCTGTGGATGGGGCAGGCACTGCACACAGAGCCCCTTTCCCTCACTCCAGTCTCTGCTGCCCACAGTCAGGGATTGGTGGTGAAATGCAGCTCAGTGAGGAACAGAGAGCAGAGCTCCTCCCTTGTGTTCACAGCTCTGTCCTGCTGCTGGGCCAAGCTGCAGCCTGGCCTGGCTCAGGGCTCTGGCTGTGACAAATCATCCCAAAATGAATCCTTTAACTGTGGACAGCCAGCAAAGTCTGCAGCTGTGCAGGGGGTGTTTGCAGACCACGATCAGCCATCCAGACAGCAAGGTGTTCTTCAGGGAAAAACAGTCACAAGGCAACAACCAGGTCTCTTTTTAACCAAATTTTACTGTAAATTTCTTTTGAAGGGACATTCTAATTATTTACAAATTATAAAATTTACAATTAAAAAAGAAATCAGAATCATAATCATTAACTACAGCAGTCCAGTTTTGTGAAAAAATATATTCAAAAATTAAATATCAAAAGAAAGTTAAATTCATTATTGAAAAAAACCCCACCTTCCATAAATTATTTTGCAGAAATGCTCAAGACACTGACAGAGTATTTGAACACCTTTGCTAATACTGGCTTTGGGTGCTTGGAGTGCAGCCCTGAGGAGCTGCTGTGGTTTGTACCCTGAGGGAGCTGCAGAGAGCTCTGGGAGCAGGGGCTGTGTCCAGCACCCTGCAGGGCCAGGCTCTTCTCAGCCCTGCTGGCCTCATTTCTGTGCAGAGGAAACACCAGGTGTGGAGAGGAGCGAAAAAGCAGAATCAGGACCTGCCCTGGGCTGCTGGGGTAGAGGGGCAGAGCCCCCCGAGCCCTGAGCCCCCCGGGCTGCAGGGAACCACAGCTGCCTTTGCCTGGCACCACAGGGCCCGAGGCTGAGCCCCTGCCCCTGCCCGGGCCAGGGAGGAGTTTGTGCCAAGCAGCCCCAGTGCCCTGGCACAGCTCTGCTGCCCCGGAGCCTGCTGTGCACAGAGCCACAGGAAATCTCCTCACCTGCTCCCAAAGCCCCAAGGGAGCGGGCAGTGCCACTGGCTCTGCTCCCAAAGTGTGCTGGACTCCCAAAAGAGCAGCTGGAAAATGCCCAGAGCAGCAGGGACAGGAGCAGTGCCAGCAGAGCAGAGCAGCCACAGGCTCCCACCTGCAGCCCGGGCATCTCTGGCACTGCCAGCTCCAGCTGCCTCCAGGCACAGCTGGCACCACACCTTCCACTCTTCACTGCTACAGGGAAACTGATCTTACAGACAAAATGTTGTCTGTCTCCCACTCCTGCTTTTTCTGTTTTCTAAACTTTTCAATCTCCTGTCAGCAGCTGCCTGCTGCAGCCCTGTTCCTACACAGACACATCTGTTCTGAAACGAGCACATGAGCAGTAGTTCCCTGCTTCCCCCTTTGCTTGGAATTACAGAAACATTTACAGCTACAGTAGAAAAAAAAAATCCAAAAGCAGACCAGAATAAATAGCATTTTCTTGTGGCACTGAGCTACAGCGGGCAGGTTCCCACTCTGATTTGTAATAGTATTTTGGAGATTAAAAGCAGATGCTGTACTAAGATATTCCTTATTGATAGTTGTTGTGATTATCCTGAAACACTAATGAATTTAGGCCTTACCTGGCCTGCTGTGCTGCATTTCCTTCCACAGCCTCTGCCACATAAAGCTAAAGAAGAAACAGCACATTGAACAGCTAAAACAGTAACACAGGAGAAGTGAAGCCACAAAATCAAACCCTTTTTAGTGCAGAGGAAAGCAGGTGCTGTGTCACTTACACCAACCCTCATTTGGGTTAAAAGATTGGTTAACTGAATTCCACTCTCCTGTACCAGCAAGCCCAAACCTGTCAGTCCAGAGAGGTCACTTCTAGAACTCTTTCTTTCTTTCTCCCCCTCAGCCCAGCAAGTACCACCTGATGCTCTCACAAGGGTCAGTTCCATGGTCCAAGCTGGATCAAACAATGTGGAAATGTCCTCCTTTCACAAAGGTTAAACTGTAACTGGCACCTCAGGATCAGAAAGGCACTTCAGATATTCCCGTGGTTTGGTGTAGTCTCAGGGAAAGCTCCAGCAGCCACGTCCAGCACAGCCCAGGGGGATTTACTGCCCTGCCAGCTCTGGCCCAGCTGGAAGGGCAGCAGCAGCTCTAGGAAGGATTTCCCAGCACTCACTCACCTGGCTTAGCCTGGCAGAGCAGCCACAGGCATGTGTCTTTTTGGAAAAAAAACTTACTATTCACATTCTTTCTGAATGCAGTGGCTCAGTCCCGTTCACTGGAGCTGCCTCGGGTGCTTTCCCTGCTGCCTGCAGGAGCAGGGCCCAGCTGGCTCTGGCTGTGCCACAGCCCCGTCCTGCCTGCTTCTGTGTCCCCCTGTGCCACAGCCCCTGCCCCCTCCCCTGGCCCTCAGCAGGGGGTTCTGCTCCCCAGCCCTGCCGCTATCGCTGCCAGAGCAGTTTGCCAGGAACGCCGTGTGGGATGAGCCGCAGTGAGCAGCCCGGGGGCAGTGCCAGGGGCAGTGCCAGGGGCCGGCAGCAGCCCGGGCTCAGGCCGGGCAGGGCTGTCCCCCCCTGCCCTCGGCCCGGGGCAGCTCCGGGCGTGACCCCGGGCTCAGATCAGCCGCTCGGTCGGGGGCATCTTGATCACGTTCCACATTTCCACGCGGGCCCCGTCCTTCTCCTGCCGGCTCGGGCTGTAGGTTCCCTGAGTCGCTCTCCTCCTCTTCATGGCAATGGCCGTGGCTACAGCCAGTGCGAGAAGCAGGGCAGCCCCCGCGGCCCCGACTGCTCCCACCACGGACGAGTGGCTGAGGTGCGCCCACACTCGCTGCTGTGGTAGAACACGGAGTTACTCAGAGCTTCCACCAGGACGCAGCTGCAGCTCACAGCCCTCAGCCCCCGCGCCTCCCTCAGCGCGCTGCGCTGGCAGCGCTGCAGGGCAGGACTCCCCCGCCCCGGCCCCTCCCTGGCCCACGGAGCCCAGGGAATGCACAGGGAATGCACAGGGAATGCACAGGAGGCTGGTGACCCCTTTCCTGCTCCCCTCTCCCCTCCTGCACACCCCAAGTCCAGCATGCAGCAGCTCCAGCACTGGCCCAAACCCCCGGAGTCCTGCCTGTTCCTTCCCTGCATGGTACCCATGGGAATGTCTAACAAAACCATGGCATTCCAGGCTGGTTTATACAAGGATTTTGATCATTCCTGACAATTCCCTGTAACACAGGGCTGGCACAGGGAGGTCACAGCTGCTGTTGCTGTTGAAGACTGAAAACCTCACACACCTGAGGTGAGAGAGTTTGAATGTTTTTCAGCTGTTGACAAAACCAGAGCAGAATACACAAACCAGCCACGACCCTCCCAGCTCCTGAGGGGGACTCAGGGAGCTGAACCTGCCCAGGTGCCTCAGGTCACCCTGCCTTGGAAAGCAGATTTGATGTGCCTCTCGTGCCGGGGAGGGGACAGGAGCCAGAGCCACCTCAGCTCCTCTGAGAAGAGCGAAGGCCAGGGCAGGGCAGGGCAGGAGGGAGGGCAGAGGCTCCCCTGGAGCCGGGGCTGCTGCCCGCAGTGTCCGTTCTTCTGGGCAGCCTGAGGGGAGCCGGGGTGGGGCGGATCTGCCAGGGCTGGGTCAGCTCCAGGCAGCCCCTGCGGGTGCAGCTCCTGGCACGGCAGGCCTAGATCAGGCGCTCTTCGGGTGGCACCTTTAGGACACTGTCCATCTCCAGCCGAGCTCCGGCCACCTCCTGCTGGCTCGGGCTGTAGGTCCCCTCGGACTGGCGCCTCTTCCTTGCCGTGAGCACCATGAATATGAGAGCAATACTGAGGAGCAGCACAGAGCCACAGGCTACAGGGACAGCTACTTCAATTAGTGGGGAGGGGAACAGAGCACCTGGAGTCCCTTTCTGTAAAAGAAATTAATGGAGAAACAGTGAAACCCCAGTGGTTACAATAACTGCAAAAACGGACCAAAATGGTCAGATTAGAGGGGAAAAGGGTTTTAGAAAAGCAAAAAACAGCACTTTTTCACAGCAAGACAGCCCCTTAAGATGTAAATGCCAGTTTACTCAGCATCTACAGTGGGAGTCTTTAAAGGTGCCTTCTTATGAATATCAGACTAAAACACACAGGTGGCACTGGTAAAGTTGTGACCAGTGTTGCAAAAAAAACCAAACAAAAACCAAAACAAACAAACAAACAAAAAAACTCCGAAACCAAAAACTTTAAAGTTAATGCAGAGTAATGTGAATTTTTAGTAACCCCAAAAAATTTCCCCAAGCAGGGGACTGATACTAAAAAAAAGTTCAATGATGCCTTAATGGCAAAGCAGAGAATTGATTAAGCTGTTAAACTGTGAAACAATTGCAGAACTTGCAGCAGGAAGGGGCAGATGTTGAAGAGGTCAGTACATGGATGGGAGATGGAGATGATAAAAAGCCCAAGTAATGAGGAAAGAAATGAGAATTCCCTAGATTCTGGTGGAGTCAAGGATGGCATGGAAGACAACAACATAACTAAAACAACTGTGGAATTTTTGTCATGAAACAAAAAAAATTAAAATTACAGTAAGCTTAAAAATAAGATATTCCTTACTGCTAACCATGGTATTGGCCACCTTAGAGGTAAAACCAAAATAATTCAAGATGGATTATTTACAGCTTTTTGATGCCATTCAGTCTGTGCTCAAGTCACAGAGCAAAGAAAGAACATTCTGGGGATCTGGAAGCCCTCTGCCCTTTTCAAACGCCTGAAGTCCAGGGGGATTCCCTGAGCCTGTCCAAAGGCCAGCGCTGTGTGGGTTAATCCAGACCATGTGGGTTAGTCCAGACCCTGCGGGTTAGTCCAGACCATGTGGGTTAGTCCAGACCCTGCGGGTTAGTCCAGACCCTGCGGGGTTAGTCCAGACCCTGCAGGTTAGTCCTGCACCTCCAGCAGGGCCCCTGCAGCTGCCGTGGGAGCAGAGAGCAAGGGGAGCTCAGCTGAGCTCCAGCTGGCCCTGGTGGTGCTGGGCACCATTCCCAGCCCCTCCCTGCCCCACCAGGGCCTGGCTGCACAGGAGGAAAGGAAAGAGTGAAGAAAAGCAAGGGGAGGGAGATGAAAATGAATACAAGGAATCCACAGAAATGTCCTGGGACAGAGGAGATAGAGATGCCTGAAGGAGTCTGTGCATGCAAACTGGAAACGTCAGGGTGACCTTGGCACGTGCATTGGAGCCCTGGGTAACAGCAACAGCAGCAAACCCGCCTGGCACAGAGCCCCTTCCATGCAGGATGGGTTAGTACATTCCCAGGTTACCCAGAAGCTGCCTGACCATGCAACAGCTTCACAGAGAAAGCAGAGAGGGAGCCCATCTCGCCCAGGAAGGATCCCAGCCCCACCCCAAACACTTGGATTATGCACGGGGAGGGCTCAGCTGGGCCGGGGCAGCAGCTCGGGGACAGGCTCAGCTGTTTCACACAGCCCTGAACACTCCTGGCCTGACTCTATCCAACCTCCCTTCTCCAAACATCCATTTCTACTCAGATGATCTTTGGAGAGGGAAGGTGTTTAGTAACTCTTATCCAAGATAAAACACCAAATGAAATTCCACTCTCCAGGAACCTGGGTCAACTGCAGGAGTTGGATTTTTGTCCAAAGAGTTGTGAAATCTGTGGAGATGTGCAGAGACAGCCCCAAAAGCCATATGGCAGCACATGCAGATACTGAGGAGCATTTACTGCAGTTGTTTATATGCTGGAGGCAATAAGCAGCAGCACTGCAGAGAAAAAAAACACTCGGGATTCCCCAGCTGTGCCTTAGGCAGGAGAGGAGCAGGAGGAGCCCCAGCGGCGCCCGGAGGCCGGGTCAGGGCCGGGCCGGGTCAGGGCGCGGGGCCGGGCCGAGCCGGGCCGGGTCGGGGCCCGGGGCTGGGTCAGGGCGCGGGGCAGGGCCGGGCCGAGCCAAGCCGGGCCGGGCCGCGGGGCGGTGCTTACGTTGATGTCGCAGCGCTCCCCGGTGTAGCTGGCGCTGCACACGCACTCGTACCGGTTCTCCGAGTCCTGGCACGTGCCCCCGTTCTGGCACGGGTTCGGGTCACACTCGTTTATGTTGATTTGACAGCTGGGAAGGAAGAGTGTATTAGAATTGTCATTGTGCCATTAGAACACAAGATCATCCAGTCCAAAAAAGCCTCTTTTGTTTGAGAAGCGCCCAGTGCAGCTTCTCCAGGTGCTTTCTCTGGAGTCAAACAACTCGAAATTGTCCCCTGTTCACACCAGCCCTCCTGTCGTGGTTTCTATGGGACTGAGGCCAGCACAGGTCTCCAGCACAGCTGGCGTGCTTGAAAAGACTCAGAAAGCAGTTCTTGCTACACAAACTGTGTTGGCAGCTGGGTGATCTGAAGCCTCCCTCTGCTCCAGCAGCTCGTGCTCCCATTAGGAGCAGCTGCTTGACTGGCACAGGGAC